CCCCCCTCGTTCATCAGCGTCCGTTTTCGGAGACCCCAAAATGGACGTCCGAAAAGGGGGGAACGGTCTTCGAAAACGGACAGTGGTGGACAGGGGGGTAGGGGGGGTGTTTAGGGGGCGAAAAACAGCGGACGTACTTTATGGATGATCCCTTAGCAGCTAAGCCGTATGTTTCACATGTGGCGCCACAGCCCTTTACCTCACCCTCCATCTCTTCGGGTGACGGGTGAGAGGCAATATCAAGGAGGGGAGGGGCGTGTTGTGTTGCCACATTTTGCTGTACGGCTTTGTTGCTTGGAACTTTCGACTCATCCTTTTTATTTTGTACTGTTTTATAATCACTTACTGTTAAAAAAAAAACACGAGTGAAAAATATGTCCCTTTTTTCCCCGTCAGATATTCGAAACCAGATTATCCGGACCTCCAACTGTTCCTGGCCAGCTCTTCCGACGCCACGGACGGGGGCGCCTTCCACGCGAAGGCACTCGGCATCACGGACGAGGTGTACGAGGCCGTGTTCCGGCCCGTCGCCTTCCAAGACACGTACTCCTGTGTGCCTCAGGTGAGTGGGGTGGGACTAGGTGCCCCCCGCCGCGCCGCTCGTTGCGCTTCTCAGCAGAGCCCCGTAGAGCTGGGCAGGCCCGCCGAGCCGCGCTGCTGTGCGGTGCTGCCTATCCATCATTCGTAAGGGGCTCCGCTGTGACGACAGGATTCAGGGGCGGGGGGAGAAGCGTGCCGGTGGACAGGACGCTTGGCAATTACAATTTCTAAGCCGTTTCTTGACACGCCATGCCGTTTAAGAGGGCCCGCGCCGCCGCGCGGCTCTCTGCAGCAACACCCCGATGTTTATATTTTCCTCACACTCCGCGTGCTGTAACGTTTGCAGTTGCTGCGGCCCGAGTCGCGGGGACACATCCGCCTGCGCTCCGGGAGCATGCTGGACAAGCCCGTCATCCAGCCCAATTACCTCAGCGTCCAGCGCGACGTGGACCTGCTGGTGAGTGTGCGATGGGCTGCCTAGACGCGAGGCGTTGCAGAAGCACCATCAGCAGGGGGGCTCACTCTGGTGCACTCTTACTCCGCAGGTGGAAGGGGAGAAGTTCTGCAGACGGCTGGCGCAGACGAAGGCCATGCAGGCACTCAACGTGACCATCAACCCCAACAAGTTCCCCGCCTGCAGCCACCTGCCGTTCGAGTCTGACGAGTACGCCGCCTGCCAGGTATGCCAGCAGCCAGCGCCTCTTTCAGTGATCGTCTAGAAAGTAGGCCCGTTGCTTTTCTTATCTCCGATTCATTCGGGATTTGCCGTTCGTTGCGAGAGCTCGGCGCCTGCGGGACTCGGGGTAGGCCACCCCGCCGTACACCCATGCGCTGTGGGCAATATGTTGCCTACCTACCAGGCGCTATGAGCGCGTCACGCTCAAAAATGACGGACGTATACTTTCTGGATGATCTCCAATAATGACGGTTCTATGTACATACACGCTATACCCTGCTGTGGGAGTTTCTGGAGCTTATGTGGTGTTTTCGCTGTCCGCAGGCGCGCCAGTACACCATGACCATCTACCACCCGGTGGGTACGTGCCGCATGGGCCGGCGCGACGACCCGCTGGCCGTGGTGGACGAGCGCCTGCGCGTGCGCGGCGTGCGCGGGCTCCGCGTCGTGGACGCGTCCGTCATGCCCGCCGTCCCCAGCGGCAACACCAACGCGCCCACCATCATGGTGGCCGAGAAGGCCGCCGACCTCATCAAGGAGGACGCCGACCGCGGCGGAGAGAAGGTGAGTGTTTGTGAGGAGAGGGCGTAACCAACCACCAACGTGTCCGCGCGTGCTCTTCTCCAAGGACCTGGATGATAATTTCTCCCCATGTTGCAGGCTGCGCTGGCGCGCACGCGCCCCGCCGCCCAGTGCGCCACTTGCGCGGACGCAGGCGCCGCCGCCCCGCCCCGGGCAGCGGCGAGGGGCCGCGACGAGGAGCTGTGATAGGAGTCGAGGGGAGGGACTGAGCAGCAGCAGGACGAGGACCGCGGCTGCCGAACAAGGCTGTGATTAACTGTGTGTCATTGACTGCGGCGGAACCCATAGAGGCGGTTCCACCGCAGCCTCTGTGATTACAAATACAAAGAAACTGTTAGAATTGTACACAACAATGTTTTTAGAATAAAACTTAATTAAACATATGCATTTGTTCCTTCTAACAAACTGAAGTCGACGTAAGTCGATGAAAACAACGTCCTGGTTTTCAAGCCGCTCGAGTAAAATCCTATTACAATTGGCTAGGTTTTACCATACTGCTTGGAAATCGTCGTGAGCGTCCTCCCGGCTCAAAACTCCCGCGCTTCTGCGACGGGTCGGTCTCCAGCGGACTCGAGGCTAGCGGTGGGCTGGTCGCGGCGGGGCCGGAGCGGCGGGTTGCCTACGGCGCAGTGCGCAGGCGCGGCGGGCCGCTCGCTAGCCTCGCGCGGGGCGGCGCGCGCCGCCAGCTGTTGGTGTGTTGGGCCGCGGCCTGGCGTCGCGCCGCGCTGCTGGGCATTGCAGTTCACGTTAGTGCTCCCTGGTCGCCGCGACGCCAGCGCCCTGCCGCGACGCCCGACCCGACCGCTACGACCCAAGTCGGCAAACTACGTCTGGGACGCGGCGTCCTCCAAAGGGTTGCACCCGGAAACCTCCTCCCGGCGAGTGCCCCTCGCTCTTCTGTCGGCGCCAAGTCGGCTCAGGTTCGTATGTCGCGCTGCCCGCATTTCGAAAGGGACGGCGTCAGGGGAATCGGGGACGCGGCGACCTAACCCTGAGTGCGACTCAGGCACTGCTGGCCCCCAAAGGGGACCCTCCTTATTGATTAATTCTGGAAAGGTTTTTCCTGCGATTTAGTTGGAACTCGACAGTGGACGTGGACGAGTCTGAGCGATATTTGCCCGTTTCACACGTGTGTGCGTTTAAAATTAGTTGACAACGAATCTGATACTGACATTTTCTCGCTCACGCATAGACTTCAAATGTAAACAAAACGGGACAAGGCGAAGTGTTGAATTCTTTCTGCTTATGTTTAGTTCAATTCATAAAATTTGTCGAAGCAAAATTTTATCAGCTTCTTTTCTTATTTCGCATCGAACAAATAAAAATTTGAAAAGTACCCTATTAAAACACATGTCTGCAAATGTTTTGGCTTTAATTTTTACTCCCTTTAGAGTCACTAAGAAAACTTTGCCCTCTTAAGGATGTTCATAGGAGTCGTGTCTTTAATTCAATTTGTTAATGTAGAAATTGAAAGGCGCGCTTTATCTCAAGCCTTCTATTTACAGATGGGAATATTTGGGATTGAGGATCAATTGAGCAGGAGCTTCTCTGTCACAGAAACTGTATTGTTATCTGCACGGGTGAGTTACCATCGATCTTCTTTTGTGTTTTGTCGAGATATTTCTCGTATTATCTGCCGTATTGGACGGACTTTGACAGCATCGAGCGTATGAATTACGATTGCGATTGTCATTTGTCACATTTTGAGCTGAAAGTAAAAACTTGTCCTGCGCGATACCGCGCTGCGCTGGAGCACGAGCTGGAGCGACTTCCTCCAGGGGGAAAATGGTATTTTTACAGTCCCAGAGAGGACTGACCTGCCCTGCCCCCGAGTGCGTCCAGGAATAGCCGGGGCAGGGGGCAGCCGGACAGGAGCAGGGCAGCCGCGGGGAAGGGACCCGCCTGCTGGCACGCCTTTAGGAGGCACGCCGTGCCAGAGGGGCCGAAGAGGGCACGCAATAAATTGGCGCTGATTGCTCGTCTGTCAGCGGGGCCGGCACGGGCACGGCCGCAGTCTGCCCCGCCCGGCCCGCCGCCGCGCTCCAGCCCCACACGCACCGCCGCAGCAGCAACCCCTCGACCCGACCCCAGTTATAATTGCATCGGTTTGTTAAAATAATTGTTTCCTGCTGCTCCATTTTGCTCCGCCCGGCAGGGCGTGGGGAAGGGGTGTTTCCTAGGTGCGGCGCCGGTCCCAATTTGTTTCACACCTGAAGTAGATTTGTTGACGGGTCTGTCGGTGGTATCGCCCATCTGAAACAAAATTGGGCCGCGTTTCGAGAGGGCACGGACCGCCAGACAGCCCCCTACCCCACTAACGGTTCATAATGCAATTGGCTGGAGTGCACCGCCAACGACGCCACACCACGCCGTCCGGTTAGCCTAGAAGGTTTTGTTTTTGCGGCGGTCTCCTTTATTTATAGACCGCAACTGGGTCATCTGCCCCGCGCGTCCCCGTCCAGGGCGGCGCGCCCCTCACACGCCCCATCCTCCTGGACACACGGACCTGGGGAGTGCGATTATGGATAGCTAACAACGGTGAGCTAAAGCACTGCGCCTCCAGACCGCTGAAAATTGGAGGGTGAGGGTGGTAGTAGAAACGTTCTGTGAACGTCCTTCAAGTGAGCTCACATTCAGCTCTTCGATCGCACTCCTAGCCGAGGACCTGGTGGTGCGCTGACGGCCAGACGCGACTACCACCCCCCCCCTGCCCCGATTGTCAACATGTTGTGCCTCTGCGACATGCGCCAGGCCCGGTTGTTATGCCCCAGCGGGCACGCCGCTCCGCGGCCGCCGCCGTTGTGAGTGGCACTCGGCGCGACGCACAAGTGGTCCAGGATGGGGCAGGTCGCGCCCGTCTAGGCGCGGTGCGGCCGGTTGCCTATCGCCGTTGCGCAATTGGTTGGGCGGGGCGCGGCAGGGCGTGACCCCAGGCTGCCGCTGCCTCAGCGCGCTGGTGTGACTGCCCCCCCCCCCCCCCTCCCTGCCTCCCGCCTCCTGCCTCAACGCTCCGCTGCGTTAGGACCTCCCCCCCTCCCCCTCCTGACATGAGGGCCCTGCCCTGCTCCTTGTTTCTGACTGAGGCAGCCCTGTGCTGTACGCCACATTGGTGAGCCCCCCCACACCCCAACCCACCTACCGCCATAGGAGGAAAGAGCGGACGACTCGTCAGCGTCACTCATTGCGCGGAGAAGATTTGTCTTCTTTACGGCGCCACCGGCTGCTCTTTGAAGAACACATTCCCCCTCTCCCCTACGCGACACCCGCGCTGCCCCCC